GAGAGTTCATGATGAATTTTGAGAATAAAACCAAATTGAGATTTTTTCCAACCTCAATCTGAGGATTCACAAGTGTATACTCTCTAAAATCTTCATGCACTCGATTGGTGTTCCAACCTGTACAATAAGAGTGCTCAGAAAGAAAGAGAGTGAACGGTCACTCAAAAGGCCCTATGAGATACCTTTCTCCTTCACTTAATTCCAAAATAAAATCAGTCACATTGATTGATAAATTGTAAATTGGGGCAACTTTTGCTTGAAAATGTTCAAGGTGTCCAATCTGGTTCAATCACATCTAAGTGAAAGCAAAAATGTGCATTGTTCTTATTTGTTTGGGAAATTTGGAATGATACTTCAAGCATTCGTTTCATTACCTATACAGATTTTTATCATTTGCTCTCCCATTTGAGCCTTTAAAAGAATAATTTCGTTTCAAATAAGGGTCTTAATGATCACTACCCTTCATTGGAAAATTTTCAAATATCTAAAAGGGGAATGGATTTTTAATAACCATTTCGTTACTCTGGTTGTCATGAAGTGTAAGAATGATACTTTGGCCATCGCTTCTACAATCCTAAACACTGTTTATCCCTTGCATCCCCATTTGATCCCCATTTGAGCAAAAATTGGTGGTTCTTTTCGAGTGCACATATGATCGCACCCCACATTGGGGAAGGAGATTGGGAAATTTTGGAAAAAAAGAGAAAAGAGAAAAGCAAAAATTAAAAGAAAAGAGGGAACTGCAATTGGGGAAATTTGATTCCACTTGGGTTCCAATTTTGAAAAGAGGAAAAACAAAACAAAGAAAGAAGAAAAGAAAAGGACAAGTTTTGTCCAGGGGATCACATATGTTTCATAGATATCAATGAGTAAGGGTCTTCCTCAATCAGTTAATTCAGATACATGCCAAAAATTTCCCATTAATGAAAGTTTCCTTTCGGAGTTATTGTAAAGAACGGAATAACGGTCAGGCCCTCTTCTTTTCCAATCAAACATTCTATCCCTAGTTATCCCTTTTGAGCCTTCAGAATAAAATACTTCGTTTGGCAACCCCTGAGAATCGCAAACCCCACACTGGGGCAAGTTTGAATTGAAAAGGAAAAGTCTCAAAAAGTGAAAAGCCGCAAAATCAAAAGGCAAAGGAAGAAAAGAGAACCTCAGTTCAAAATTAAACTGGGGCAAAATTTTGTGAAAGTTCAAAAATGGCCGAAGGCCAAAAAAATCAAAAAAAGAAAGAAAATGAAAGAGAAAAAGCCTCAATTGAGCAAAAACTGAGGCAAATTCTGTTTTTACCCTAAATTAGGGTTGACGCAACAATGCGATCTCAGATTCTTCAAACCACTCTTGAAATCTGCCTTCAAGCCTTAACTTTTCTAAACACCCCACCTGACCCCATTACAAAGCTAAAAGTCCTGACTTCTGTTCTTTGCACTGGCTTTGTCAAGGAAATCTCTGATGTCGAAAATTTTAGCTGTATTCTGAATTGATTAGGTGTGAGGTTGACACTGCTTTTCATGTGAAACCCCGCGAGGGCATTTTTGGGGAAAAGGAAAAAACGAGCGAAATGAACGCAAAAGAAAGATGCAAAAAAAGATTTGATGCTGAAAGACCCTGTTGGGTGATGATAAAAAGTCAAACCAAGTCCAAGAATCTGGAGTCCAGATGAGGGCGATGTTGAAAATGCGATCTTCGGTGCTATGTCCTTGAAAGTTTTATTCTTTAGCTATCGTTTTCAAGCCACATTACGAGCTGATAAAGTCCATCGTTGACTTATTCTTTCATGACAATCCAAAGTGAGGATTATGCTCATAAAAATCCATCGATCACTCATGATCATAAGGGTATAACCAGTTTTTGCATGTTTAGCTATCGTTTCCATCCATAGTGTTGCAAGTTTAAAGCTTATATGTTGACTCAATTTTCTTAAGGAATAAGGGTGACAAACTCTCTGCTTTCACTAAGATGTGATGTTGAATCGATTACAATTTTGAGCACAAAAAAAAAAAAAAAAAAAAAAAAAAAGGAAAAAAGAGACAAATCTTGACCTCCCATTTCCTTCAGCCATTTCAAAATCAAAAATAAAGTCACTTGATTGGTCCTGACAGATGAGTCAACCAGAAAGTGGTGACCTGTTATCCTAAGCACCGATGCTAGAAGTGAAGAAGAAATCTTCTTGAATTTGGTGTTATTCTAAGGGATTCACCATGAAATTTTTGCATGAGTTCAAACTCGACGTTAAGTGTCTTCACATTGTATATATGACTATTTTCTAAATTTTAGAAGTGCTGTTTCTCTTTGTTCAAATAAATGGGAAATCATCTGAACAAATTGTTGCAATCAAGGGAGCCCACACTGGGGCAAAATTTTGTTCATGAGATTTCATAAAATAAGCCCACACTGGGGCAAAATTTTCCGCAATACATTTGAGGATTTCGCCCAAGAATCAAATAATGCATCTTTCAAATCAATCACGCTGCTCTTTTCATGTAAATGTGAATGCATGTCATATTTTGGTAAGCCCCATGTGCAGGTATTCATTGTTGAAATCGACGAAAGAGCATCTGGTGATGTGGAAGGCCGATGCCGAAGAAAGAGAAAAAGAAGGGAAAAGGGCCCTACACTGGGGCAAATTATTTTTGAAAAAGATTCTTACAAAAAATCAGAGAAATTCAAAAATTTCAAAAGTCAAAAATCAAGTTCAAATTCTTGTTTCTTGGAAAATCAAATTTAATTGCTTGTTTCTTGGCAAATCAAATTCAATTTCTTGACCAATTGGATGGCAGGATTGGGTTTTATCCCACTAACCATTCGCAAAAGCACGTTGGGACCGGGTTTTATCCCGCCAATATCGGCAGGACCGGGTTTTATCCCGCTGACCGCTTATCTCGGCAGGACCGGGTTTTATCCCGCTGACCGCTTATTTCGTTTGGGACCGGGTTTTATCCCGCCAATATCGGCAAGACCGGGTTTTATCCCGCTGACCGCTTTTTATTCACATTGGGACCGGGTTTTATCCCGCCAATATCGGAAGGACCGGGTTTTATCCCGCTGACCGCTATCTCGGCAGGACCGATTTATCCCGCTGACCGCTTATTTGTTGGACGGGTTTATCTCGCCAATATCGGCAGTACCGGGTTTTATCCCGCTGACCGCTTTTTATTCACATTGGGACCGGGTTTTATCCCGCCAATATCGGCAGGACCGGGTTTTATCCCGCTGACCGCTTGTTATTCACATTGGGACCGGGTTTTATCCCGCCAATATGGCAGGACCGGGTTTTATCCCGCTGACCGCTTGTTATTCACATTGGGACCGGGTTTTATCCCGCCAATATCGGCAGGACCGGGTTTTATCCCGCTGACCAATGAATGGCAGGACCGGGTCTAATCCCGCTGACCAATGAATGGCAGGACCGGGTCTAATCCCACTGACCAATTCATCACAAAAATCAAGTTGGGCCTGGACGTTGTGCCGCCAACATTCCAAAAATCAAGTTGGGCCTGGACGTGGTGCCGCCAACATTCCAAAAATCAAGTTGGGCCAGGACGTGGTGCCGCCAACATTCCAAAAATAAAGTTGGGCCTGGATTTCATGCCGCCAACATTCCAAAAATCAAGTTGGGCCTGGACGTGGTGCCGCCAACATTCCAAAAATCAAGTTGGGCCTGGGTTTCGTGCCGCCAACATCACAAATCACGTCGGGCCTGGACTTTGTGCCGCCGACATCCTATTGAGTCTGAAATTTGTGCCGCCAGTGCAACCAAGGCAGGTTCGGGTATAATCCCGCTGATCAATTCATCATACTGGGGCGAATTATTTTTGGGAAGTTTTTCAAAAGCAAAATCAAAAAAAAAATAAAAAATAAAAAAATCAATCAAAAAATCAATCAAAAAATCAAAAAATCAAAAAATCAAAAAAAATCAAAAATCAAATCAAGTTTCATCACGGCAGGATTGGGTTTAATCCCACTGTCCGATTGTCAAAGCATTTCATTTTACTTCGCCACTAGCTGTGGGGCCATCCCATTTAAATTCCTGTCCGGGTCTATCCCGTGGGTCTATCCCATTTACATTTCTGTTCGGGTCAGTCCCGTTTTAAATTTCTTGTTCGGGCCAGTCCCGTTTTAAATTTTTGTTCGGGTCAGTCCCGCTTTAATTTCCCGTCTAAGCCAATTTCATTTTAAACTTCGTCAAAAGGGGTCAGTCCCCATTTTTAAAACGTCCACCGTTCGTGACGTTCGCCGCCGAATAAAGCAGGTAAGTATTTGGTGTCTACTTCTTTGTCTCAAGTTTTTCCAAAACTCAGACAAAGAGGGGCAAACTGTAGACACCAAATTTTTGGTGTAATTTCATTTACTGTTTATTTTTAGTTTTTTATTTGTCGTGTTAGTTTTATTCGATTTTTAGTTTTTAGTTTTTAGTTTATTTTTATTTTTAAGTTTTTAGCATAGAATTTCTTGAAATGAAAAAAAAGAGAGAAAAAGGAAAAATGAGAAAAAATGAAAAAATGAAAGAAAAAGAATGAAAATGGCAAAAAATAGGTGGAAGTGTGCATGTTGAACAAGTGTACAAAACAATCATGGGACAAGTGTCCCTTTTGTTTAATTGACAACACAACATTTAGGAGGACACTTGTTTAGCTTAGAAGGGAGGTTTTGAGAATTGAAAAAAAAAGAAAAAAGAAAGGAGGCCACGGATGAAAAGAAAAGAAAAAAAGCAGAGGGCGGACGACGGGAAAAGAAAAATAGCAAGAGGAAGGCAGACGCAACAGGGGGGTTTTTGGGGACAGCAAAAAGGAAAGAAACAAAAAGAGGTTTGGGTAGAGTAGCCGGCAGAGGAGATAGAGAGCATTGTTTGGGTAGAGTAGGCGGCGGAAGGAGAAGCTTCGGGAGGCAGCAAAAAGGAAAAATGGAAGAAAAGGGAGGCGGCGGATGAAATGGGGGGACCGGAAAAATCAGAAAAAGGAAAGAGAAAAAGAAAAATCAGGGGGATGGCTTCGGCTATGGCGGCTTGGATAGGAAAACAGAAAAGCAGAGGGACAAGTGGCCGCAAGGGAAAAAGAGGAGAGAGTCTCGGCCACCCAGGTCTGACCGCCGCATGGTGCTGGCCGCAGGAACATCAACCGAGTCTTCATCAATCGTTGATAAAAAACAAACGGGCAGCCTGCAACGCGGCCTACGATGGAAAGAAGCCTCTGAACAGCACCGGCAAAGCAGCGTGAATCGAGCGTTTCTCAGGCTACTCCGCCTCCTCAACAAGTTCACCACCAGCCAACTTTCATTAAGCAAGAGCAGGGTAAGCCGTTTTTTTTTTTTCTCGTTGAAATTTCAATTTTTGTTCAAGCTTCAGAAACAGGTTGCCGTGACTTTGTTCTGCAATTGACTTGTTGATTTTCCGTAACTTTCTGATTGTACATGTTTTATGTGTTAATTGGTTTGAATTTTCTTGGGTTGCTGGTAAATTTTTTGGCTGTTTACGTTTCAAATAAGCAAGGAAATCCCTGATTTTTTAATGCCTTTTACCTGTTTGATGAAATGCCCGGCTAAGAATTCTGCTTGAGGGATGATTGACTTGCATTTTGCTTTGATGTTCTTATTCTGCGAAGAAAGGCTAAGTGGTCGCCGATACTCTTTTGATCTGCAATGGTTTAATACGCATCACTGGGTTGTGTTGATCAAAGGGGGGGGTTTGAATTTGCTAAAGTGGCTTGTTTACTTTGAATCTGTGTCGTGTGGTTCCTGGGGTGAGTTACAGAAGAAAGAAATGAAAAGAAAGCTGCAAAAGAGCTTCGGTCAAGATGCACAATGATTTCTGATATTTTAATTAACCCCTCACATTTTCCCTTATTCTGCTATGGCCCAAAACTTGGCATAATTGAACTAATTCTGTACTTCTAAGTTTAATTCTCTGTTTGCATATTTTATGTGATTTTGTGGATAGATTAATTCTTGATTGAGGGTCATAATTGTGGCTTAATAATTTTAGTTGATTTGTTTATCTTGATGGGTTTAGTGAAATAAGTGATAAGAGGTTATTTGTTTGGGCTACTTGGAACTGGGTTTGGTTTCCTTTCATTTGGGTTTATCCTGGGCTGAAGGTTTAAAGCCCATCAATTTGTTGGTTTATGTTTTGGGTCAAAGTAAAATGACCCATTCCTTTTGTTTTTGGATTTCCGTTTGGGCCAAGTGATTTTGGCCCAAACAAATAAGAAAATGGCCCACTGGCCTGACCCATTAGCAACCAGAAGTGATTTTGCAAATCAATCCCTGGATTTCTCCTTAACTACACTATGGCCCTACAAACTTTCAATGCTGTCAGTTGGGTCCTTAAACTAATTGCAAATAGGTCCCTGAACTTTATTTTTCTTTGATTTTGACCCCAAGACTTTATTAATTTTGCAATCAAGTCCTTTCTTCTTTTGACTTCTTAAATGTAGGTTGTCTGCATGATTTAATTGATTCAAATTCATGTTTGTTTTTGTCATTTGTGATTATTTGTCAAATAAATTGGCACCTTGACTCCTTTATTATTTTGGAGGGTAAATAAGTTGATTTCACTCCATTAGAGCTTCATTTCAAGGGAGGTATAATTTCTTTTATCCCTTTTGTCTCTCCTATGTGATCCAATGTGCTAAGTGTGAATCGCATGCCTAATTTGCTCTCATTACCATTCTTTAGTTCCATTATTTCATTCATTCTTGCTTTTATTAAATTATTCTTTTAAATGGGGTATGTGTACACCTCTTGGCTTGTAATAGATAGGGCTGTGGCGAGCAATTTGGTCCATTTTCCCTTCCCCTTTTGTTTTAGTTAGTGAATGTAATAAGTTCATTAGCTTAGTTGCATGCCTATGTGTTACTTGTTACTTGCTTTATTAGGGTCTTGCATCTAGTCGAGCATGCTAAATGTTACGTGCTACGTGTTTATGAGTATTTGGTATGTCTACTTGCTTTCCATAGTGTGGATGAATGGAATGGATGAATGTACGTCACCACACTAGTCCAACGCTAGTTGTGGCTTCTTTTATCGTTTCCACTAGTCCAACGCTAGTCGGAATTCATAGAATGGGCTAGTCCAACGCTAGACCCAATAGGCTTTTTCCTTTCTTTTCATTAGTGCATCATTTGCTTGTTCACCACATATCATGCAACTTTCTTTAGTTTTATCATTTGGCATGATCCTCGACCCCCTTTTCCCCTCACTTTAGGTTTTGCATCCCATACTAGCTATAGGGTTCATTTTGCTTGAGTGTCCCCTTCCGATAAGGAAAACGAGCGAGTGTGGCTACTCAATAGCCTTAGCACGCTAGTTTTGCCTTCTAATCAAAGGGAAAATAGAAGTCGAAAAGTTAGGAGTCAACCCCCGTACCCGACTTGTTGCATTCCTCTAGGGTCATACTTTCATTTTTATCACCCACATACTCTTTTAACCACATTTTTTCACATTTCTCAAACCATACTTTCTCACTACATTTTTCCTATCACGCGCTCATTTTCACCTCACAAATGGAATTCCACTTTACCTTATATATCTATTATTCTATTTTCACACAAACACTTGGATTTTTCATACAATTTCACACATGCACCTTTTCATACACTTGCACACAAACACTTGGATTTTTCATACAATTTCACACGTTCACCTTTTTATACACTTGCACACTTGCACTTTAGCCATCATTTGCATTAATCGACCTCTATAAGGTTTTCCTTTATTGGCCGCCACAATTCATGTGGTTGGGACCAAAAACCTTGCAAGAGACATGTTAGAATTTAGGTTTGCATTTTTCCTTCATTTTGCATTCATGTAGTGCATCCAAATGTAATAAATTCTTTGATTAAAACAAGAAAATCTTTGATTAAATCATGCAACTAGCCTTGGCTAGGTCAAAGGGGTGCCTTGGATTTTATCCTTGCCTTCCCCTTTGTCAAATGTGACTCCCGAACCTTTTTCTTTGGTTTACGTGGGCTAGGAGTCGTTTAAAAAGGGTTTCTCACTACTTTTTTCCTATTTTTCTTAAAAATTCATTTTTAGGTGACTTGGTACACCTTAACTCATTACCAAGTGGCGACTCCCATTTTTTCAAAAACCCTTTTTAAACTATAATTTTGGGTCAAATCGTCGCATTTTCAAACCCTCATTTAGACCCATTTTTCTTTTAAATCACAATTCATTTTCCAATCACAAATTGAATCAAAAAATACATTTTTTTAAACCATTTTATTTATTTATCAAAAAATGGGGCGCGACATGAATGTCAAGGGGCCGATATTCGAATTAACCTAATAATCTACTGCCAAATTAATTGATTGAATCCGTAATTGTTCAATTGATTAATACCAGTGGCGACTAGCGTGATTGGTTTCATATTAGAGAACTGTATGATCTAACTTAAACGAACTCTTGTAGCGTGTTTGTTAGTTAGGGTTGGACTTTTCTAATTCTTATTGCAATCAAGAAATTAAATCCTATGGTCGTGCCTAGGGTTATTTCTTGGTTAGAAAAATAGTTAATGATCGTACCTTGACTATCGAAAAAGTAAGGAAAGACTGGTTGTTTATCGCGTATATGACAACTATAACTAATCTATTCATGAGTAATTGAATTATCTTTGCATCGATGATCAGTTGAATGGACCGTGTCTGAAAAGTTGCACCTTTGACTAGAGTCGTATTGGTTATTGATTAATCCTTATTTATTTCTATTAATTATTTCATTAGTTAGTTAATTAGTTATTTTATATTCTCCCTAAATCCCCCCATTGTTAACTTAAACTTTAGTAAGAAACGAATTATTCCCAGTCCCTATGGATTTGACCCTACTTGCCCTGTTTATAAATCAGTAACTCCTTGTAAATAAGCAACTCCATTCTGGTCTATCGGATTAAGCAAACTCTTCGGGAACGGGGTGAATCAAGTAACCCATTGCACACCTAGAGTCCCTACTCCAGTACTTAGAATTGGGTTTTAATTACTCTGATTAGCAACTAGGTTTATTTTTATTATTGCACAGGTTTCGACAACCTGTCAGACTGCTTTGGAGAAAGAAGCTCGACCCTGGTATGTACCATTTACTGCTCCTTCCTGGTCCATTTCTTGATGTTTCTCATCGAAGTACTTCAGATAGACTAATTGACTAAAGATTCAAACCACAAACAGAATGAGAGATATTTGATTGTCTAGAAGAAGTTTTTAGATGAATCTACACCAGAAATTTGAATGTTTACATCTTGAAAAGGATAAATTTAAAGAAAGGTCTCATGTAGCTATACCCTTCCCTGTTTTCTGAACTCACTCAATTTGGTGACTGTTTATTGATAAAATGGACTAAGAGCACAAACAATACTAGGAACATATGTAAGAGGCCACAATAAACAGAAAGAAAGAAAGAAAAGAGAGAGAATTCACATTTCTAGTTAACCTTGACTGTTGTACATTAATGTCTTTTTGACATTTGCTAGTATGTTACAGGTGTATCGAAGAAATTACTCATTTCAGGTGAGAATCTTGCGGTACATTTTTCTCAGTTAATTTTTCTAGTATAGAGAAAAGAAAAAGCAAAATTGACATGTGCCTTTAACAACAGGTCCAATTGTGGGGTGTTTCTTTCTCATATTAGCAACAAGTGCTCTTCACAATGTCTATAAAACAAAGAAAATAGATAGAGAAAATCAGAAGAGAATCAGAACATTTTTGGAGGACTACGCTGCCATGAAGCCTACTCGATATTCCTATGCTGATATCAAGAGGATCACAAATGACTTCAAGGATAAATTAGGTGAAGGAGGGTATGGAAATGTGTTCAAAGGCAAAATTTCAAATGAAATATTTGTTGTCGTGAAGCTGCTGCAGAATTCCACAGGAAATGGGGAAGAGTTTATCAATGAAGTAGGAACAATGAGCACAATCCACCATGTAAATGTTGTTAGCTGGGTAGGCTTCTGTGCTGATGGATTCAAAAGAGCTCTTGTTTATGAATTTTTGCCAAACGGTTCTCTGGACAAGTTCATATTTCCAGAAGGTCAAGAGCATCATAACCTTGGAATGGAGAAGTTACAAAACATTGCATTTGGCATTGCGCAAGGTATCGAGTACCTTCACCAAGGATATGAACAGAGGATCCTCCATTTCGATATCAAACCACATAACATCTTGCTTGACAACAACTTTAACTTGAAAATATCTGATTTTGGGCTAGCCAAGCTTTGTGAAAAGGGAAGAAGTGCAGTTTCAATGACTGTTGCAAGAGGAACCATAGGCTACATTGCCCCTGAAGTCTTCTCAAGGCACTTTGGCAACGTGTCTTACAAATCAGATATCTATAGTTTTGGGATGCTGTTGCTTGAAATGGTTGGACGACAGAAGAACATCGATGCCAATGTGCAAAATGTTAGCCAAGTGTACTATCCCGAATGGGTTTACGGACGGTTGGTTCAAGGGGAAGACTTGAGAATCCAAGTTGGGGAAGATGGAGAGGATGTCATTGCCGAAAAATTGGCAATTGTGGGACTTTGGTGCATTCAGTGGAACCCTGTGGATCGTCCTTCAATGACCTTCGTTCTTCAGATGCTTGAAGGAAATGGAGTAAGTCCGTGTCTTCCACCAAGTCCTTTTACCTCAACAGATCCCATGAATCCAAGTAATCCAAGCTTGCATAGAAGACATTTGGCTTCAGGATTGGCAGTGATCTCTGAGTTAGAATAAGATGCTAAAGGTTAATTTCAATTGAAAGCATGGTTCGCCATCGCAGGTTGCGGTTGTTCCACATCCGTCACGGCATATCGATTAAATATCGGATGATACGCAAGTTAAAGTATATAAAGCTTTCAAAAATTCTAAAAAAATTACTAAAAATAAAAAATACTATAAGCAATACAACTATCAAATTAAATTTGATAAAAACCTAAGTTAACATAGATACTATGTAAGTCTTTAAAAAAATGATGCAGCTCTAATTAATAAACAAAAGATGTTGAAAAAAATCCAGTTCATTTGTTGTTAACTAATCCAATTTAATATTTGTTGGACTATTCTAATCTTGTTGCTTTTGTGCTAGGGAGGTTGAAATGTTGAATGAATGGAAACACGAATGCATTCAAAAAACAGAGGAATACAGTTTTAGCCTTTAGGTATCCCCCCTTTGGTCAAGAAATGTTTGTTCAGGATGTGATGAGAGAGAAAGTTGGAAAGGGAGTGAGATAGAATTTGGTGGGCTTTGAGCTGTGATTTAGCTGTAATTTTTTCTTTTTCTTTTTTTGTTGGGTGTTTCTTACCCTCTCTCTCTCTCTTTCTCTCTCTCCATTCTTTCCCGTCACATTCTCACATACAAAACCCACATTGCCTCCCATAATCCCTAGAAAACGTCCTTCCATTCCATCGCCTCCCCCTTTTATTTCTCTCTGTCTCTCTCTCTCTTTTCAAGCGCCACCACCATTACCAGTTTGCCACCACCCACAAAAATCTCCAAAGCCCCGAATCCCATGTATTATCCTGCTCCTCAAAACCCACTCTCTCCTCAATACTCCTCCAATTCATACTTTCCTATACCCCAGATCCATCTTACTTCCAAATTTGCTCCAATTCTTCTTGTTCATACTCCCAATCTGAAGATTAGGATCAATCTCAACAAAATTACGAGTCTTACAATCACAACCCTCAAGAAATCTCAACCAATTATGATGGGTTGCCATAGCAGAAGTGATGGAATGAGGATGGCAACCAGTGGGAGAAAGAAGAAATCATGTGGGAGATTTTGTTGTTTGACTCGCGAGTTGACTCGGCCAAACTCGGTGAGTTCTGCTGATTTCTTATCGATTTGAGTTGATTCGGTAAAGATCGGCCGAGTCAATCTGAGTCAATTCGGATTCCAGTGAAACGGCGATGCGGGTGTCGGTATCGTACCGGTAGGTCCTGTTCCGGTTATGACTCGGGCGAGTCAACTCGGAATCGGCCGATTTGACGAACCATGACTGAAAGTTTTGTGTATTAATAGCTCCCAATGTTCTGCAAATACAAGAAACAAAAAGAAGAAATTGATGAATAAAGTAGAGGTAATCAATGATATTTTTTACATGTGTACTGTATTATGGCTGATGTTTATGATAAAACTAAAGTCTGAAATTTAGAATCTGAATCCATTAAATTATTGAATTGTTAAATATTAAATATAATACATTTGAATACATATCACATTCAATGATAAGTGAATAACTTATCACTTAATTTTGGAAGTAAGTTTTGCCTAAAACATTTAGTGTCACTTAATTAATTCAGACGTTTAATTTTTGATTATCAACCTATCTGAATATGTTTAGATCTGATTCCTACTCTTGTTTAGCCATTCCTACTCTTGTTACTACCTCTTCTTATGTGGGATAATAGTTGTTACTAAATGCCATGATGCCTCTTAAACAGTTGAATTCTTCAACACAAGGCAAAACTATAGCTTAAATAACTGAACCGTAAGAAAGAAGGAACCAGAAGAAACACTACTCCGTTTTCATGATTATTTGATAAGTCTTTGAGTTAGACCATTGGGCATTCAACTCCAATTATCCAGGCAGGCAGCATCTAGGAAATGTCTTATTGGGCCCATTGATAAAAGGAAAGACACAGTTTAAAGAAACCTACAATTTGGCCAGTAACACCAACAAGGCTATATAAGACCATACTGCTCATTGTCTGCTCATATATATTACATATTGGGGCTTAGTGGATACAAATGAGTTTACATATGATGCATCTCTGAAGGTGCTAACTTTCAGTTTTACTGGTACCAAATGAGTTTTCAATTTGCCTTTTCAACTGGTACTAGGTGGCAGATTTAAGAGTTTGAAAAACAAATCTGAAATACAAAGCTTCCACTAAAAGTTAGGAGTACTTCTTAGTCATCCATCTGCTCCATTTCTAAAGCAATAGAGCTACACAGCGTTACTGTTGACTCATCAGAATTAGCTAATATTACTGCTTCCTTGCATGGATATGGGTGAATCTGGAGGGTAAACAATGGTCTGTGGGGAAACTTTAGGCCACTAAGATTACCTTCAAGCATTTCTAAGACTTCTCTCATTACAGCACGATCCTCAGGTGTCATTTGTGTGCACCATAATGCTATCAAAATCAACTTTCTACTAATTGACTTTTCTTCTTCAGTTGCATGATCCCCAATTTCCAATTCCTTCCCTCGATCGAGTTTATCGTATATCCATGACGGGAAGTATATTTGACTTGAATGTTCTACATGTCCATTACCATTTCTCCTCCTTTCTGCCATCTCCATTAGCAACATTCCATAGTTGTAAATGTCTGCCTTGTCTGAGACTCTTCCAATCTTTTTGTAGAACAATTCCGGAGCCATGTAACCTAATGTTCCTCTGATAGCTGTAAGACTTGAAACACTTTTTTGCGTCGGGTAAAGTTTTGCGGGTCCAAAGTCTGCAACTTTTGGAACAAAGTTCTCATTAAGTAAGATGTTATGTGGCTTAATATCAAAATGCAGAATTTGCATATTACACCCCTGATGCAAGTATTCAATCCCATGAGCAACTCCTTTTGCAATCTCACAAGTTTGCTTCCAACTCAATGGATGACCATTTTGACTGTCTGAGAAAATTAACTTATCTAGAGAGCCATTCGGCATGTCATCATATACTAGGGCATGTTTTGAGGGAGCGACACAAAATCCTACCAACCGAACCACGTTCACATGGTGAATTTGTCTAATAGTTGCAACTTCATTAATGAACTCTTGTCCATCAGCATTTGATTTGTTCAGCATCTTGATAGCAACTAAATCTCCACTCCATAGTTTTCCTTTGTAAACCAAACCATAGCCTCCTTCACCTAATTTCTCCTTAAAGTTGTTGGTCCTTGCCCTTATGTCTTTGTATGAATACCTAATGGGCATAAGGCCGTTGTTTGTTTGTAGGAAATCTTCTATTGTATTGATAGGGTGTTAATTGTCGGTTATTTTACTATTAATTTTTCCCTTGTCCCTGCCAAATATTGTTTAATTGTTAATATCTATTTATATTTGGTATCTGGACTTAATTTCAGGGAATAGAGCAGAAAACCACAAAAAAGGAGGGACTTTCTGGAGCAAATTACTTCACACATGGGAGACTGCTAAAAAGCTCCATCAACGTGGCCCACAAGAAGAGAACAAAACTAATTTCCTACCTTTTTGCTTTTTGCTGATGAAGAGAAGACTCATACTAGGAGTTCTACTATCAATAGGAAGCAATGAGCAATTCGGCAGGGCCCCACCTTTTTGTATTCTTTTCTCTTAATTCGGTAGGGCATTCTCCTGGTAGTTTTTGGACTCTCAATTGCGGCGGGGACCACGGATAAGAAGCTTTAGTCATTTTTGGCTTTAAAAAGTGACAATTGTACGAAGGTTCGGATCGATAGTTTTAGCATAGCTTTAGTTTTAGTTTTTCTTTCTTTTTCCCTTTCATGCGCGACTTTTGTTCGACAAAAGTCCCAACTGGAAAACAACTTTTACCTCTTGCTTTTAGATGAAAACGTGATGCCTTGTGAAGCAATTAATTTGCGTGGAGATTTATTTATGTGGCGTGGCTAAACCTCTCATCTAGTCGAAGGCCAATTTGAAGGCGCGGTTCCAAATATCTGTGAGATCGAATTAATTTTATTTATTTCTTTTAGTCATTGGTATTTGTACGCTTCCTGATTTAATTGCTTATGCTTGTTATGTTATTTGAATATCAAGGGCCCGATATTCGAATTAACCTAATGATCTAATGCCAAATTAATTAATTGAATCCGTAATTGTTCAATCGATTAATACAAGTGGCGACTAGCGTGATTGGTTTCATGTTAGGGAAACGTATGATCTAATTTAAATAAAACCCTCGTAGCGGGTTTGTTGGTTAGGGTTGGGTTTTTCTAATTATTAATACAATCGAGTAATTAAATCCTACGGTCGTACCTAGGGTTATTTCTTAGTTAGGGAAATAGTTAACGGTCGTACCTTAACTATTGAGAAATTAAGGAAATGTTGGTTGTTCATCGCGTGTATGATAACTATAACCAATCTATTAATGAGTAATTGAATTATCTTTGCATCGATGATCAGTTGTATGGATCGTGTCTGAAAAGTTGTACCTTTGGCTAGAGTCGTATTGGTTATTGATTAATTTCTATTAGTTGTTTTATTAGTTAATTAATTAGTTATTTTATATTCTCCAAAAATCCCCCTATACTTCGGACTCTAAAAGAAATAAGTTATCCCCAATCCTTATGGATTCGACCCTACTCACCGCTATATACAAAATCTATATTTTTCTCGAGTAGGTAATTATTATTGCACAGGCTCGACACCCTGTCAATTTTTGGCGCTGTTGCTGGGGACTGGTGCCTGATTAATTTGTTTCTTTTTGAGTTCATCTTGTTTTCTTTCTTTCTTTTCTCTTATTTTTTATATATATATATAGTTTATGACAGCTAACATTTCGTATTTTGGTGATAGACTGGATTTTATTTTTAGAAGAGGTTATGAGACTCACGCTTTTTCTAATAATCAATTGGCTGTTGCAAATTGTGAAAGTTATTTTGTCTTAGATCATTCAACCGACATATATCCCGCATTTCAAAATGGCCTAAGTGCTCCAATCGATACTTTTGGAGATTTTTCACCTCAATATCAAATGTGGCCGATGGATTTTCAACAGCAAGAGTCTCAACAACCATCATCCATGCCAGGTTCGTCTCTAGAAGAAATGATGAAGCAGTTAATTGCTAATCAACAAAAGATGAATTTTGACCTACAAAGCATGAGGAATCAATTGGAAAAAGTGCAATCATTGCAAACTCAAGTAATCAATTGATGATAGCAATTAACCGCCTAGAATCCCAAGTCCAAGGAAACTTTCAAATTATGAAGAATTGCCCTCACTGACCATCGTCGACGTTATGAAAGATGAGGATGTATTTATCCGGACAAATGACATGGAATTGCAAGAGTTTCAAGAAAATGGATCTAAAGATGCAATTGAAAAGGAAGTTGAAGTGCAAGAAATGAGGCCTCAACATCAACTCGTTCAAGTGAATGAATCCAGTGAACAATCTCCAAATACGGTGACATCTCCTCCATTCCTTAATCAATATTCTCCAGACTCTTATTCTTCAATTTCTGTTAGTGAGGTCGACTTTATTATACCAGAAAATTTTGAATTTCATGACAGGAATAAGTTAATAGCAGCGATGACAAAATATCTTGGGCCAATAAATGCGTGTGATGTAGGAGTGAGTGAAGAATCCAGATTATTGTTGACTGGTTTGGCGCCATCTACTAGCTCATGGAAGATCGTAACTCGTGTGTTCAAGGATTATTCTATTTACGAGGGCTGTCAGGACTATATAGAGGATGAAGCACTGAAACGAATTACAAGATTTTATCCTCCCTGAACAAATATGACAATGTCTAGCCAAAAATATTAAAGAAAGGCGCTTTTTGGGAGGCAACCTAAATATTGATTTTTATTGTTTTTCGTTGTTCAATTCTTTCATTTTGTCGTTTCTTATTTGGGTAGTAGTCGGTCTTAATATTTTTCTCCACTGTGGTCAGGACAGGAATCTTGGCGTGCCCACGCGGTGTCAGTGACTCCAAAAGTCAGTGGACGTTTACCAATCTTGGCATGTCCACGCCATGTTAGTGATTCCTGAGGTCAGTGGACGTTTTATAATCTTGGCGTGCCCACGCGGCGTTTGGCCGCCCAAAAAACTGAAACTTAAAAGAAAAAAAAATTATCATTATTAAAAGAAAAAGGAAAAAGATTATTTTCTTTTTAAACCCTAAAGAAATCAAAAATCAAAAATAAAAAAAAAATTCAAATTTTGGAAATTTATATTCGGAAAACAAATTTGAGAAAGTTTTTGGAAACAAAAAAAAAACAAAAAAAATCCGCAAAAATATTTTATTTTATTTTTTCTTTTCTTGTTTTTCTTTTTCCTTTTCTATTTTCTTCTTTTTCTTTCTTTCTTTCCTTCCTTTCTTCTTTCCCTTTTCTTCCTCTTCTTTCCCTTTTCTTCTTTGGCCGAGTCTCAAGCTGCACGCCGCTCCACCGCCCATCTCCTCCTTCGTGCACCACGACACCAGCTCGCATGCACCTCCACCAACGCCGGCCACCGCCTCTCCAGTCAACCCTCTCCGTCGTGCGGCTGCACCACCCATCTCTTCGTCGCCCGCCGCTAGTTCCCTGCCCCTGCTCCAGCAGCACGCAACAGTCCCTCTCCGCTCTCCTCTTACTAGCGCGCTGTCCTCGCGCAACCTCCTCCTTGCCAAGCTCCACCTGCGCGAACCACCTCGCGCACTACTCTGCCAACAGCTCACTCTCCCATCTTCGCGCCACTAGTTCACCTCGCACCACCGCACGCCGTGAGCCACGGCGGCCTTTCCCTCACGTGCGACTTCAGCTTCAACTCCCCTAGCACTGCCAGCTCGCGCCACCACTCCAAGCTCCCTCTCAACCACCGCACTTGCCCACCCTGGTGCCAGGTTTTTCATTTATTTGGTGGAACCCGTTATTTTGATTACTTGCTATTGATGAGGTTTGACTGATATTGGGGTGCTATTCAATGTTGTTGGGATTTCTTAGTGGGTTGGGTTAGTCCGTTTGAATTGGTATTTGAGGGGACCTCTGATCGTATTCTCCTCATTCAAATTGCTTGAATCCACTGCTTTGTTGAGGTCGTCTGTGGTAGCACTTGAGCTCTATTTTGTTGCTTTCTGTCTTGAGACCATTGTTGTGCCTTTGGTTGGGTTACTTCTGTTATTGCTCTTAGTTGCTTTTAATTGACTTGTTGGGGGTGTTTGCCTCAATTTAGGATGCGCGTTTTGCGTCCAACTGCACCTTTGGAGGCATTTACTGAGAATTTGTGTGGAAAGGTTTGGTATTTGACTGCATTTGCGGACATCATTGCTTATTGAATTGCTTTTGCTGGTTCTTACAATAGTGGGGCTTCCTGTGATTATTGATTGTTTTGTTACATTGTTGGGAGCTGTGTTCTGATAGTGTGGGTAGCTACTTTCTGCGGTTGTTTGTTGATTTGGGAAGCTACTGTGACACTTCCATTGCCTATTGCTCATTTGTTCCATCCAATTGACTTGCTTGGGGTAATCTGCCTATCAATTTTAATTACTCAAGTCTTTGGAGCAGTTGTTGCACATTTGGACTGCTCTGTTTCTACATCTGACTGAATTGGGACCACAAGTGCTTATCAATTGCATTTGCTATAAGTGTTGGGGTATTCCCATAGATTTTAGGTGCCTGTATTATGCATTTTATTGTTTGAGTTGCCTGCTAGTTTCCATGGTGAAGCCATGATCCTCCCTCAGGGGCCGACGACTGGCTCCAACTCCAGATGACAGTTGAGAGACTGGAGACTCGAGTGACCCACATTGACATCAACTTGCATCACATGGCGCAGAATTTGGCAGCACTCTCCACGACCCGCCCCTGTTTTGACGATTTCGGGGAAATACCGTTGCCCTTCTCCTTTCTTTTGCTGTTAGTTTATCACATTGAGGGCAATGTGTGATTTAGGTGTGGGGGGGAATAGTTGTGGTGATAGTTTTTCCAGTTTTAGTTTCTAGAGGATTTTCCCTTTATTTTTAGTTTGTTTTCGTCTATCTTTCATTTATTATTTTTTTTCTAGTGGTCAGTTCTTATATGAATATCAAGTTTTGATGTTGGATTTTTGCCTCTAATTCTGCTTTTGCCAAATTTTAGTAATAAAATGGTATCAATTTAATGGGGTTAAGTTCAGGAACATCTCTCTGGTGAAAATCAGTAATTGCTTGACTTTTCTAATTTTTGGTTAACTTTTCTAGACATATGGAATGATTGTTGGCATTTTTCATGTGAATTGGTCCAATTATTAATTTTA